CGGTGGCCCTCACCTTGCTGTCCGAGTCCACACGCTCGTCCACAGAGTAGGAGTCGTAGTAGAGGCTGAAGTCATCCCCCACCACCGTCTCCCACTCCTCTGGGGGCCCCGCATTCGCCTTCTCCAGGGTCATCTCTCCTGAGCCCCGGGCAGAGCCCAACTCCTCCAACTAGAAAAAGAGGAGAGCAACTGAAGCTGCTGGCACCCCCACCAACCCATCTCCCGAGGCTGGGACGCAGCCCTCGTTTGGGGATCCCCTGCGGCAGCCCCCGGAGGAGAGGCCTGTGCCCGCCTCTCCCTGCTCACCAGGCCGCCTCCAGAGTTCAGCTTCCTCCTTTTGGCCACATCTGGAAGGAGAGAAGACAGGAGGCAGGCTGGCATTCTAAACTCTCAGCAGGCCTCAGCAGGCTGCAGGCGGGCGGGCGGGACTGACCTGAGGCCACCTTCCCCAGGGGGTGCACGTCGTCACTCATGCGGAAATGCTGAACTTCGGGGGGCCGCTTCTCGGGGACTGGGGGCTGGGGACCGAGAGGGAGCACACTTAGGGGCAGGAGGGGCTATGGTTTGGCCTGGACAAGCCTGGAGCCCCAAATGGGGGTGGGGTGGTGAGCCACACCCTCAAAAATGCCATCCGAAGCTGCAGGAACCAGATGGGGCTCTCAGGAGAACGGCGGTCTCCCAAGCACATCCCACACCAACCCTCACTTGTTTCTGCGAGTGTGCAGCAGGCCCGCTTCCCATTTTACAGACGAGAAAACAAAGGTTAAGGCTTTGACCAAAGCTACTCTAACCGCATGCAGAACTGAACGCTACCAGCACCCTTAAAAACAGTCATAAAGCTTGGGAGGTGCTGGGGCCTGTCATTCCCGAGGCCCGTCTCCTCCCCAGTAGGAGCACAACCTTTAAACTGGAGCAGGGGCTGTTTCTGGGGAGCAGAGCTCCCTGGGGCTTGCTCTGAGCTAAAAAGATAGAGGGGTTGACATTTCTTTACATCATCATTGTCTTAAGAGTAATTAAGCCCTACCCGGTTTGGCTCAGTGGATAGAGCGTCAGCCTTCGGACTCAAGGGTCCCAGGCTCGATTCCGGTCAAGGGCATGTACCTTGATTTGGGGCCCC